AGCATAATCTAAAAGAGCTTTATTGATGTCCTGTCTACCATCTGTTTTGCATATGAACCTTGTGACTCCTAGTCTTTCAAGCTCGTTAATTAGGCCAATAAGAAGCATACCACAGGAGCTCTGAAATGAAACGCTGGTGGCACATCTCTGCCAGCACAGGCTTGCTCTCTTTTTTTCCCTGAGCTTACAAGTGAGTGCTGGTTCCCTGGATGGGAAACCCTTCTGTGATCATTCCTCTTTACTTTGCGGAGTGGTGCAGCAGTAGCTATTGGCATTTCCTCTTGCCTTCTCACCTGTTGCAGGAGGAACCTGGCGAGGGAAAAAGGCTTTGTGTATTTTCTCCCTTGCTGCAGCACAGCCTGGATGTTTCCAGCTGCATCATGTTTCCATTGAGCTCACTGGGAGCTCAGTGCCTGAAGGCTGCCAGATGTACAGACGGTATGAGCACCAGTGTGGGCTTCCACGGGCATCCACCACGATGGATTATGCAGATAACTGCTTAGAGATGTAGTTCTAGGAAAGAGGGCCCCCATTTGGTATGCGAGCCACTGCTAAATGCTGGAGTCTTCTATTTCCAGGCTGCTTTTCCTAAAGTCCAGTTGTGTCATTACTTATATATGAATATAAAACGGCAACAACAATGGAGGGCACCTACCCACTTGTTCTTCCCTTCTGCCTCCCCTCCACACCACCGCCTTGTAGTGTAAAGCTATATACTCTGGAACAGATGCAGTTGCCTTTCCCGCTGTGCTGCTGCTTGGGGAGGGATGCTGGTTACCAGGAGACTGCCACACCTTCTTGCTGGGATAACGGCAGGCATGGGCAGCTGGGAATGGCACACCAAGAACTGGCTTGGGCTTTATTTATAGGTGCGTGATAAACTGTCCCCACCAATTTATCCCCTCCAAGCTGTAAATCAGTTGGTATCGCTATAAACAGATGCACAAAGTCTTAAAGTGAACGTTTGTTCTAAAATGCCATCTGATAAAGCATGCTTTTTCCCTAGAAAGAGATGTGTGGCCAGGCAGCTCCTTCCTCCTCTGCCTTCCCAGCTGAGGGAGGATGCTGCCCTCTTTTGGCTACGGGGACAAGCTATGTTTGCCACCAGAAACTACCCCACAGGGGCCACTGTTTCTGGCCACCAAAAGGACACCATAGCATGCCGCTACAGGAGATATAGATTTGCAGGAAGCCTGAGGTGTAGCACCAGGATGTAGATTCCAAGCTCCTGAGTGTTGTGATCTAGGCAGGTCATCTGGTACGTTGAGAAGGGCTGTTGGTAAGGTATAGTATGGTGTCCAACAAGCTTTGGTGTGTTTGCATCCAAAGTGGTCAGTGTAGATACACTTAAGCAGGAAACACTATAATCGGGGGGGGGGGGGGAGTTTCCTTACCCTCCACTTAAGCATAGATGCCTGAGCTGAAATCTGAGCCCAGAGCCAGGGTGAAGGCTACACCAGCTCAGTTTTCTTCCTATAGGTAAACACTAGGGTTGGGATTAGACTCAAGTCTACTTGTGTTGTCTTTATAGACTGATTGTGCAGTGTGAGGGCTGGGTTTATTTCCTACGTCTTCCTCCGGTTTCTGCAAGAATGGGCTGAGTGCAGGCATCACACTGAACAGGAGACGTTGCTCTGCCATGCATGTAAGTTCAATGTTGGGGCTTCTCAGGGATTTATTATCAGAGAAACAGTTCTATCTTCCACTTTTCAGCAGAGTCCATAGTGACAAGACTTCTCTCATTCAACCATTTGCGATCTGTTTAACACTGCCATCAGATGTGCCCCCTAAATGAGTGCCTTCTACAACTTTCCTGCCTTACAAGGAGTAGAAGTCAATCAAGACTGTTTGAGCACCACTTTGCTCTTTCCCTCTGAGCTGCACTTAACCCTCATCATCCCTTCCACATCACATCATGGAATGTGCTGTTTCCTTTAGAGTTGCTTTGCCTCCTAGAAGCACAGTTGCTAAATGAGTTGAAGCCTTATTTTGGGGTCAAAAGGGGCAGACCCAAACAGTTGAGAGAGCTAAAGTACCTCACTAGATGTGAGCAATGTTAATGAACCAGTGTTAAGGAACCAGACAGAGGAAGCTCAAATATGAGACAAGGCTACCAAAATTACTTCACCCTCTCTCCCAACTTGTGGTTAGATGCAGCCTTGGTAAGGTATGCTGATTCTGAGCATCCCCAGCATCTCACTGAGCCAAAATATCCTTGGCTTCATCCTTGAAAGCCATATGTGTAACCTGACAGCTCCAAGTTCATATTAGTACATCAAGAAAGCACATTCTCTTCCACAGAATCCCAAAGAGAAATAGAGACCACAGATCAACCCTTGTACAGGGGAAACTGCTGTAAAACTTATTGTTAAGCTCAGTCTGAATAAGATTAAGCAACATATAAACCACAGCCCCTGTGCTGCAAGAACACAACTAGCCTTTGGATTGGGTACTACCTTTGAGGGCTCAACAGCAAGAAGCAATAGAGAACAACTGCACATAAGGAAGGCTTTCCTACAAGAAACAGCAGACGGGACACAGGAGGCAGGATGAAGTTTCCGCCTTAGAAAGACACAAAGGTTGGAAACCACAAATTTGGAAGAATACCCTAGGAATGACAATGCCAACACTAGTTAAGGGCCCTGCTTTCTGAATGCGGCGATCATGGTGGAGCAGTGCCTGTGCCCTGTTCAAAAGGAACACTGCCATCTAGTGCACTTGGAGCAGAGCATTCTCATCCTATGAATACGTGATTTGGATCTGTGTGTGCAAAGGCTGGAGGCACTGCCACATAGGAAAAGGCATTGTATTTTTATGTTGTGTAAAGAAACAGTGTTTAAACTTGGAATTGGCTTCTATCTTGAAGAAGAGGAAGGGGAATGAACAACCCCCTTCCAATACTGCCATTATGCATGAGTAATCCTTTTGGCTGGAATCTGGAATATCTACAAAATAGGTTTCCATAAGCTCTCTGCGTGCAAGCTTGTCCTACACATTGCCTTAGCAATTCCTTAGGAGCAGTGGATGACCCATTAGGATGGGGGCACACTCATTTATCTTGTGTGTTCACTCACACCTGCAGTATTCCATGCCTGCAGACTCAATCTGTGCCCACAAGACTGATGGTTGTAAGGGAAACTCTTGCCTGTGAAACCGAGATAGATCACACACTTTTTGAGAGAGAGACGACCTATTCAAGCCTATAACAGAGCAGAAAGTATATGCAATCCTCTCTTGCGTTGAGGGCTAACTTCCTTTTCTCCTAGCACATGAGCATCCCACATGTTGAGGTGCAGGGTGGGAAATGCCTGCATGTGGCAGTGGAGAGAACTCTGTGCTAGGTAGCTGCAGGGGATCAGTGAGGAACGAGGCTTTTATGGCTGGCAGAGTAAACTCCCCTCAAGAAGGGCTCACTCAAGTTCACTTTCAGACCTATTGGGAATCCTCCTCCTTTTCTCAGCGCAAATCAAAAGTAATCTGTGCAGATACGAGGATTGTTAATTCTATTGACACTAGGGTTTTCTGTGATGTACCCTGCTCCTCTGACCTGTTAGTGAGCACCTCCTCCTTGCACTAGGATAGTGAAGGATAACCTAACAGTTTTTGGCTCTGCAGCCTCTTCCACGTGGGAAGAAGGGATATCTCCCCTTGATCCTGCCTGTGAAGTAAATATCTGCTAAGGTGGATGATGATCCTTATGGGGTTGTAGGAGAATTCAGAGGGTTTGTTAGCTTCAAAATGGTCAATTAGTTCTAATCATTGGCAGCAACTCAAACTACAGCTGGAGCAGCAAAGCTGATGCCTCTGGTAAAAGACAGCCAGCTGTTGCCACACAGCCATGGAGAAGTGGGGGTGACCAGTTTTGTAGGCTGACAGGAAGACAAAAGGTCAAAATAGATGCCTCAAGGTTGTCTTTATTTATAAGCTTATTATGTATTTATAACAGGAAGAGGTGGACACCTAACAAGTTGTCGAGTATTAGATTGCTCACTTTACTCTCAAGGAATCATTGCTGCAGAGCTGGTTTTCTCCCATTCTGAACTCTCACAAGCTGGCCTTTAGATTGTCTTTTTGACTTGGTCTTCCAGTACAACTAAAGCTGTCTGACATCAGTGTAAGCTTCAAGACTTATGTCAATAAATGCACCCAATTCATCCTGCGCGGGTTGAATCAACAATACGTGAGCATGTTGTGCAGAGTGCTTGTGTCCCGACAGGGCTGATAGCTCTGCTCCTACAGTCACAGCAGAATTAACGTGCTTACTTAGCAGCAAGCAGCTGATGAATTAATGTGATCCCTCCACTAGGTGGGATGCAAGCACCGTAATTTCTAAGCACTTACGGTTCAAATGGGAAGCTCCAGCACAGCCTGCTCAATATAGCTGGTTTCCCATGCCAGATACTACTAGCCAGGGGCTATGAAAGGCAAAAGTGCTTAGTTCCAGTTCCTCTTCATCAGAAAGGGCACAAAAAATTAAATGCTTCAGTGCCCCAGAGACATGATACATAGATGATTGGGGTTGACATCATCCAGCACTTGGGAAACATGGTGCCCTGCAACCTTCTATGTCATATCCTAACGGGGACAGAAACAAGGGAGCAGGCAGAGGCTGAGAGTTGCCATTTCAGGATTGTCACTAGAGGAAGCAAGTGCTGTTAGCTGTCCAGAGAAAGGAGAGACAAGCTTATTTTTGGAAGCAGTAATAAAGTTAATATTTTTATAGATCTCTAACATTAATACTCAGTACAATCTTACTCCATTATTGCTAGTACAGTAATGCACACTCTGCCCTTAACTGCACTTCTCATTCATTACCTCAGAGCAATGACAGCAGACAGTACATGAGCAATACCTCTACTCCTCCTGCTTTATGCTTTTAATTTTGTGTGTAGAAGTTAGGAATGTTTTATTGCTACTTTCACTCTGAAGAAAAAGAGACACAAAGAATAATTAAGTTGCCCAAGAACTCTCAGCAAGTTTATAGCGCAAACAACCAGTACCTTCATGTCCTGATTCCCAGCCTCTTAATAATGTTCAATCACTCAATTTATCACCATGAACTTCACAGGAAGCCAGACAGTCCCCATAGAAAACCTGCTGGATTCTTCTCTTGACAGTGCAGCAAACTAGACATTGGTAACATTGACTCTCATCTTAAAGGTACATTTTTACCCTTGAGGACATTAGGTCATCTGCTACATTTTATATTCAGGTTTGTTTAATCTTTTTACTTTCAGTTTTCAGAATGCCAAACATATTTGTCCTGACACCACTCAGCCAGGGTTCATGTCCTGTCAGTCCAAACTGGACAGTTGAGTAGACAGCAACAGGAGTTTGTGGGATTTGGGAAGGTGTGAGGAATAAGTAAGGATTCTGCTATGAACATCAGTTGATTAGCAGTGAAATGATTATATGCTTTGTAATTTAATGCCTAGTATTATGTTCCAGAGTTAATGTCCCCTAGAGAGGAACTGAATGCTTGTAATTCCTCCCAAGCTAAAACCTCAGAGGCCACAGAAGCAGTCAGGCAATACTGCATCAGGTATGTTCAGCTAATACTTCCTTAGTAACCCAAAGGACTTGCATTCTGAAGCACAGTTTCATGGCAAAAGATGAATGCTATTTCCAGAGAATGAGGGAATACCCTGGGCCCTTCATGCCATATTTCCTTTGAACTCTCAGCTTCATTTTGGTACAGTCTTAATCATGTCTGTTGCAACCCCTTCAACTGTTGCTCCTTTGAACAACAGTAGTACCTGGGTATAAATATCTTGAGTGCATTGTAACATACCAGATACTGTGGGCAAGGCAATATCCTTTGCACTGTGGTTACATCTTGCCCCATAGGGTAAATTCCAATGGAAAGCTTTCTCAGCATGTAAAAAAAGATGTTCCCCTCCCTGCAAGACTAGAGGGTCAGATTTAGAGACAAGTCTCCTGGTCCCTTGATGTGCTGGAATCACTCAGTTTTCAGCAACAAGCACAACTAAAAGAGGGCAGCTCCAATGACTAGTATGTGCCTCTGTTAAGCCTTGAAGCAGCATTTTCTCACACTATTTCTTTAGGTTATACTTGCTGTTGTCTCCCTTACAGCCCTCAGAAGGTTCACAGGTCATCTTCGTATGCTGCTATCCTAGTTATTGCTTCGTGTTGTGTGTGTATTATTTGTGCTTTTAGCAATTGTGGCTTTCATGTTTTGCTAGTGTTGGCACAATTCTAAGGGAACAACTTTTTACTCCCATTGCAGGCTTCCCCTGGCCAAGGCAACATCCTCCTTGCCTATTGAGACAGATGCTGGCCACCTTGCCTGTTGGTATTATTTGCCTGGAAGTGATGTTCAGAAGCTGTATTCCACAATGAGGCCCTCATTTAACAGACAATAACAAACAGATAGTTCCCACCCACAGAGAGCTCATTGCCTAGGGTGATGGAAAAATATATCAAGCGGAGGTCAAAGAATAGTAAAGGGCAATAATGCAACACCGGCCACACTGTTTTCCATGGGCCTCTTGCCTCAGGGGTAACAGCCAACCTTGCCTACATAGGACCAGCTGTCTCTTACTTAATACATATACACACACATGTACACACATGCAGGCTGTGCATAAATTAAACAGTCTTTAGAGTGCTGAGAAATAGTAAATGCTAAATTCAAGCCAGATGCGACCCACTCCCTAGACACCAGCAAGCAGCTTTGGCCTGGAGTCCCATGCTGCTGGAGGTGACTTGGAAAGCAGGCCTGATGGGAAGGCTTCAACACTTAGAATCTAGTGGACCTCTCCAAGGTCTCACTTTTCCTCCAGCTTAACAGACTTCCTAGACCCAGGCTATCATCAAACAGGGAAAGTGGCTCTTCTGATGCCTGTGAACTTTGCTTAAACACTGTACTTGGAAGAAAGTGGGTGACAGGACTTTCATGTCCATCATGTGGGTTAGGACATGTTCTACTTAGGTGCTTGGAAAACACAGGTACGTAAACCTCTACAGTATAAGAATCTCGAGGACCCCATTCTTATGCATCCTATTCTGCATAGGCATCTTTTGGAGCCTTTGTAGATCCAACATTAGCAGGAAAAGTCTGGATGTCTCGTATCCAGTGTAGCATAGAACCAAGTTAATGCAGGGCTGAGCAGCTGGAACCCCTTTGCGGCTCACAAGACCAGAGCAGAAAGCCTGCTGTGCAGTATCCTGCTCCATGGCTTCAAAATGAACAGTGAACCTGGAGAAAACATCAGTGGCCTTGGCGCTCACAGTGAATGCCTGTGGGGAAAAGAGCCATCACAGTGGATTTGTGGATTAGGAAATCCTTTTGTGAACAGATTCAAAGTTGCCCTTGAAATGATACTTCTTTAATTTCAAAAGACTGCTGCTTCTGAATTTTCCCCTTTTGATCAATGAGGAATTGCATCAGCATCCCCACCATTATTACTAAATAAATCTCTGTTTGAGTTTCAGTCCATAAAGTTTGATCAAATGCATTTTACTCTTGCTGTCTAAACATTTCATCTGGTTAATGCCTAACTTCAAGTATTCTTAATATTTGTACTTACTAAATTATTCGGGGAGAAGCTACTGATCGTAGGCCAAATGCTGATGTCATTTACACCAACAATTAGCCCAACATTGCTCAACTCCCGTCAGGTGCTGCCAGGGTTTGAGGCTCTGGTGTCTTCCCTAGTTTCTCCCAACAGATGGCAGCCTCTTGACTACTCTTCTTTCCTCCCGGATTTTAGGTGAAAGGCAGCAGGGAAAACACCCTTATTGTGGTTTTGCCTCGAACAAGAAAGATTTTTGTCCTTCTCGGTTTAACCTTTGCTTGTCAGAATAACGATGAGGGGGAGGAAGGAGAAGAAGCCAGTGCCCGAAGCCCAGAGAAATGGTGGAGTGGATTTCCCATTAATACACGAAATAACGGGCGAGTTCACAGTCAGTATGTCATGAAATAGCTGTCAAAAGTCTGAGTCAAATGAAATGTGAAATGTTCACAGAAAAAGGAAGCAAGCCCAGCCGAACTCCTCCGCTATGGCATGTTTTGGGGCACAGCTGCCTCTTGCAAACACTTTTTAGAGACTCAAAAAAGCTCTGTGACTGGCTAAAAATAAGCCTTGGCACCTTGCATGCAGACTTTATTGCAGACAGGAATGAAGGCTCAACAGCCCTGCAAGGTAAGATCTAAAAGGCTTTTATAGATGGGGGGGGAGGGGGAAGTGAGGCACAAAAGGTGGTCTACACACAATTCAGTATTAGTGTTTTGGTGAGGGATGAGATCTTTTTATCTTTTTGTTGTAACAGTACACTCCCCACTGTGAAGCAGTTGTAATGGTACAAAGGTACCATTTGTGGTACAATTTGCCCTACATGAATATATTATTCTGATAAAAGCAGTTAATGCCAATATCGTTCTGTTAATGCTAGTTCAGTAAAGCTATACAAATTTCTCTGGTACAGTTAAACCAGTACAACCTTGGCATCTAGATAAGGACCAAGTATCTTATCCAAATATATGGACCAAGTAAATGACTGATCCGGGAATAGTACACCGCAGTCTTCCTTCCCAAGCTGCTTTTCAGATTGCTTGCAACTATTCTGTTCACATTTCTTCTCACTAAAGGGTAACACAAAGCATCATTGTTTGTCAAAATGTCACAGTTTAAAAAGAGATGCCACAGTCTTATATATAAAACCAAGTGGAACAAAACATTCCAAAATATTTGTTTCCTCTGTCTTCCTTCCAGTGGTACCTGGCATTTTTGTGTGTGCTACTAGAGGAGTGAATTGTAGCAGTGCTTTAGCTGGGCCTGACAAAATACAGGTATTTTGGGGGTTTGAAATGTATTTACCAGTTTTCATCCCAAGTGGGTAGTTTAATAAAACCCTAAAACTTTACACAAATTAACCGTCTAGTGGGAGGGTGTCAGTGTCTTAACAGTGTACATCTAACTACTTGTACTTTGCAAAGTAGGATGGATGTGGTAGGGCAGGTCCACAGCCACACCTCATGTGAAGATGTTCTAGTTGCATTGTTCTCCATTCCAGTTGCTTTATTTCTATGGCTCTTCATCCCCACCTGAGCCACCACATACCTCACTGTTGTAGCAGTTCAGGTCACACATGTTCCTATTATCCTCTTCAGATCAGCCTCTGCAAGTTGTCTTCCCCACACATTACACCAAAATTTGTCTGTCTTGCTCACTATGGAAGAGCTTTATGGACAATGTGGGCTATCCATGGAGCTGGTCTCTCTAAGGAGAACGATGGAGCAAGCCTACAGAGCACTGGTGATGTAAGAGCCACCAGAGGCAGCAAGGGCAGGCACAGACTGATCTTCAACTGAGCCAGGCTGAATTATTCCAAGATGATCATCAAGCTCAAATTAAATATTTCTGAAGTTGAGAATATTTTTTCACAGAAAGGGAAGTTTTAAAAGAAAAAAGAAAAACCCAAACTCTGCTAATTCAGTATTTTGGGACAAAAATTAATTTTGAATTATCTCGATTTCCCTTGGGAAGGAAATTCTGCTTTTCAATGAGCTGTAAGTGATGTATCTTAAAATTCCCAGGCAACAATCTTATATTGGTATTTTTAATTCTGAGGACCATTCCCATGAGTTTCTAGTATTTTTAAGTAGGTCAAATTTTGAACACAAAAAAACCTTAAGAGTTATGCCCCTTTCATCTTTTCTTAGGAGCAATAAGCCTTTTTGGTATTATTGCTGGCTGAAATATTAAACAGGAAGCAAATTACATTTCCAGTCATTAAAGTACAATAGAACAGCTCTATTGTCTGAATCAGTGCAATATTAGGTCAGATTGTCACAAAACGCTCAAAAATGAAGTCATATTGAAAGAATGCAATAAATTAGAATTTTTATGCTTTTGTTATGAGCACTGGCTGATGAGGGATTACTTTTTCATTCCTGCCAATTAAGGTAGGAAATTCAGGCTGTAAAACTGGAATTTAGTAAGCAACAATATGGAATTTGATATTCACATACATTAGGTTTCTACTAATATGCAACATATTTCAGTGTTGCTGTTGACAAGACTACAAGGTTACCCGTTCTTCTACTGTGTCACCAA